CCCCACCACCATTCCTAACAGGCGGCTGGACAATGTATAAATTATAGATCATGTGTGACATCATCAGGGCCTGGCAGCTCTGACAGGCGTGCTCTGCTCTATGCTATCCACAGGGGGCAGTGCAGGACTGCAGTGTGATCACACTCTCCACACATTTACTTCTCAGCAGTAAAGTCAGAATAGACATTATTAGTTACATTTAAATGTGTAAATTGGAGCTCAGGACAATTAAAGAGGTTATGAGTGTATTGTCTTGACTGCAACTCAAATCAGTTTTGAAATATCACTTTTAATCAAATATGCTCAGACATTGAGAAATCCAGCAGTGATAATGACAGAAGCAATAAGACAGTATGAGCTGCTCTCCATATCTAAAATATCCCAATTCTTTGTACTAAGGAAAGCTTAAGCAGGAAGCCCAGTTTCAAAGCAGCCCTCCATCATTATATCTTTAAATACAAATACAAAAAAAAAAAAAAGTTCAAAAGACACCCTAATCAGAGCATAGTCCTCTTATTAAATGTAAAAAAATAAATAAATAAAAAACCCACTTCAGAATTCCTGTGACCCAAATTTTAAATTTCACTTCACAGACTCCAGTCCTGGGTGTGTGCATAATAACAAGCAACTCTTAAACTGTCTTTATGCAAAGTCAGAGACATGACTCACTGAAGGCAAAACTTTTTAATATGGAATAATAAATCAAATACATTAAAACGCACATGCATTCTTACGAATGATGCCAATGTTAAAGCTTGGACCAAAAATACAGCACTGGCATATTTATGAAGCTTTCCATGCACACTCCTGAGCAGGGACACTTTTATGACATACAGAACCATAAAATGAAATGACTGCTCCAGAATCTTACTGTGTGCATTCGACACATTCAAAAGACAGTTTGACATATTAAAAGGATGACCTATTAATGTAAATTGCCTTTTAGATTGTTTACCAAATTATAAACCCTAACAGGAAACAATCTTATTACAATTGGACACAATTCAAGGGTACTTTGCAACTTTTGCAAGATAATCCAACTGCAAGGATTGTTCAGATCTTTCACTGTTTAACTTAAAAAAAAAAAAAAAAATGTTATATTTGCCTAGAGTGTCCTTCTATGTCACATTTTGGATTATCATCAGTTTTTGCAACCATTGTTTGCAGTTTAAGTATTTGTTATTTTTCTGCTTCCACCAACTGTACAAATAGTAAAGCGACACTGGAAAAATACATTTAAAAGAACATAGCACTGATTTGACATTATAGTAGAGCAAAAATGTGACGTGTTTTACACTTTAAAAAAAAAAAAACAACATGATACCCCCATACCCCCTGTGCTCAGAATATATATTAAACTATTTCTGAGTTTGAATTTAAAGATATTTGCAGAGAAATGGGTGCATACTTATTTTAAATAACATGCACTTGAGCTAAAGAAAAGCACCTCTGATCAGTTTAAAATCTGGCAAATCAAACAAGCCACCATAATCTCCCTCTTAACTTTCAGGCTTAGAAAGCTGAAAACAGTAGTCGGCTATGTGAAAAGCCTCCAAATCTTCCTACAACCAAATCAGTCACCGACTGGAGACTTGTTATGCAGGTGCAGATTCTTTTAAAAAAAAAAAAAAAAAAAGTAGTCTTACCGCCGCAATGTGCAGCAGAATGGCTCCACTCTTCCGTTCATTGTTGGTGAAAAAGTCGTCGGGGAACTCGTGTATTGCTGAGAAAAGAAGAAATGTCACAATCATCACACATCAGCAGCTTGACTGCGAAGTACACATCACTGTCCCATCTTCAGATGGCTCACACTACACTTCGACCACGTTATTCTTTTTCTTCCTTCCCTTTCCCCTTGGCTACCTAATACCGAAATGTGTCTTCCATGTTTAAAACTGGGCAGCTTTCAAGACTTTTTGCAAATGAAATAGTTTCTGATCACCAGCATCCCAGAACAGCTTTAAGGAACAGGAATAGCTCAGGCAAAGGAATAGTTCAGGCACAGGAATAGTTCAAAACACCTTCAATATCACATCACTAAGGAACCAATTATTTCATACCTACTCAAGGGGGGTGGTCTCAATCACCACGTCCTCTTATGATGTGAAAAGCTCGGGCTATGATAAGAGGCTGAAGTCATACAGAATTAAAGCAAGCAGGCAGAAAACACTCCCATGCTGAGGACTCGTCATTCATCATCCAGAACTCCAGCTGGCCCACAGTGTGATCACGATACGAGCATAAGGCTCAGATAGGGGAGCACGGCCACTCCACGGTGCACCTGGCTGAAAACAGAAGCTAGCCATCTCCCTGACAAGAACAGCATCTGTGGGGGGGAACGGCCTCTGTCCGACCCATCCCTGCTGGACCTGAGCTGCAGGTTCACATCTCGGCTTGCAACAAGCCTGCTGTATTCCAAGTGTAGTACTTACAAAACTAGAGCATTCCCTAAACTCTGTATACTGCAGGTGGGAGGCTAGACTGAGTTAGAGCAGTGCTTGGAGTAGATGCTAACACATTGATGTAGAGCAAGGGTAATATTTACATATTTTTATCCTATTAAGTTGAATACATTAGCAACGCTAATACTTGATTCAGTAATTAGCACAGTACAGGTGAGACTGACAGTGGCACTGTATGACAAAGCCACCGAAATTGATCTTGAGAAGGAAATTAAACAGACATTAAGTGTTATTTAAGGGACATCAATGCTGTTGAAAACAGGGTTTTGCCCCATTCATGGTTCTCTGCCAGTGCTGTGAGCACATTTTGTTTGTGAGGGACAGCCAGTCAGAAGAGGGCTGGGCTAAAGGCTCATTAAGAGGAAAGAATGGGAAATCTTGAACTGTGAATCAAGCTAAGCTACTCCAGTAGAGTCCAGGGATTTAAGAAAAAAAAAAGTGGAAAGTAGTGTGATATAGGCCAAAATTAAAACAAAACAAGTAAATGTACAAAATTTTTGAAGCGATTATTTTGTAACAGTTGATACATTTCACTGTGGAAGTGAACACCAGTGAAACTAGGGAGTGTATGAGAACATGGAGGCCATCATTTGGATCCTTTGAATTTTTTGGCTGTGAAATTCAGTCAATCTGCATAAAAGTGGTGCTTTAACTTACAGACCATCCCTACATCCCTAGAATTGGGAAAACACCTGATTGGGTTACTGCAGTGCAGTAATCATTGCTCTATCCTTCAGTAATCCAAATAAACAGGTATTGTTAAAATAAAACACTACAATCCAAGCCTGCAGAACAATGCCGTGTAGAGCAGAAAAGAAGGACAAAATTCGGGCTCCTGTCACATATGGAGTCGTGAAGTGGAACAGTGCTCACCTGAGACTTGTCAATGCATCTGTCCCAATCTCACAGACATCTTTTTGCAATGACATTTTATTGTGTGCACATGTGACTGAGTTAGCATTTGAAACAGTGCACAGGGAAAATCAAATGCTGTGCAGGATGCAGTCCAAGACCTCTTAATCAACTGCGTGCTTCCTTCTTTTCATTTAATTACATCACATGACTGGTAATGTTGGTTCATTATGCATCGGTGTGTCGTACAATAGCTCCCTTTAGTTGCAAAATGAAAAAAAGAGGCATGGCCCAAATAAATTACTTTCAAATTAATCAAACCTTGATTTGTAGATTTTTAAATTTGGATAAATGCACCCGATTAGATTAGTATATATGATAATAAAAAGGTGATTAACCTAGAGTGTAATATAGACTATAACATGATGTATAATGAAAAGCCTAAGGTGGCATTGAAATCCAACAGTGGCATTGACTATGTCAGGAAGCTTTAGCTCATTTCATTTCTGACAGCTTTATATGGCATATGAAGTGCACCGGAAAACTGGCTGCCTCGAGTAAAGGTGCAATCAATTACAGGATTTGTCAGCTGTGCCTCAGAGGTGATTGAAAACAAACTTATGCCTTATGGCTACAAACATCATTCTAGCTGTTGAAGGTTACCCATTAAGCTTCTGAAAAGCATGGGAAGGTGTGAATTTCCCAGTCCTTCCATGTTCAGTTGAAACAGTCAATAATTAAGTAGTTATTTGGTGACACTGTGTGTCCTAAATATGAAATCAGCTCTGGCACGGAGAGAGTTTACAAAAATTAAAAATAAAAATGGAGGTGTCTAAAAGGGTGCTGGCACAGTGACCGCAGAGATGACAGGTAGGCAGGGGTCACCTCTCAGTCCCTGTAAACATATGAGCAGACAGCGTCTGCAGGGTTCGTCTGCGTCTCCTCACAGCAGAGGTCAAACAGGATGCAAACATGCTTCCGTAGCCAGTTCCCATATAAGGCCAGAACAGGATGTCCACACAAGAGTGGGACAATGCACACACTGCTTTAGTGATCCTTCTCAAATGAGGTCCAAAAATAGAATGATAAATATGTACCACAGCTAAAGAAAGTGGGGTTTTTTTGTTTGTTTTTAAATATATGTATACAGAAAATGAGGAAGCAGCTTGGGGTGATGGATTACTAAAGTGTACCGCAAATATAAAATGTTTACCTCCAGATCAAATTTTATGACTTTAATCAAAGAATCAGTCGATGTTTGCAGCTTACAGCTTCACCGTTTAACTATTTTAATTATTCTTGATTTACTTCACTTCATCCATTTAAAGCAACAACAAAACAAAAAAACAACAACAAAAAAAAAAATCAGTTCTGTGCTTTGGGCCAGGGTAACTTCTTTTTTTTTTTTTTTTAAATGAATGTAGTCACAAGGTTATCATCTTCCAGAAATTTGGCCATTTTTAGCTGCAGATATACAAATGTTATTCTATGGAAAATGTAGGTTGATTTGTGATTAGTTGCTCATAAACAATATAAGTACTGATTGCCTTGTGTCAAACAAGGCACTCAGTCTGCTGCTTTCTGACTGTAACAAAATTTTATGTTTACATTGTATATCTAATATAGACCCAGCTGACTTCACATTGTTGAAGAAAATACTCAAGCAGCTGGAGGTCGTCAGCAACCTGCAGCAGACAACTGAACCCAGCATCACCAGTTCTCTCAGTCATGTCTTTAGCACCATCCTGCAGCACAGCATGAAGAGTTTTTTTGTTTGGTTTTTTTTGGAAATGCACCACATCTGAAGCCATCAAACAGACCTGATGAGGCATAGCAGCATGCAAACCTCCAAACAGCTCTGCATGTGGTCCCACGTGAGACACTGGGCAAGCACTGCTGGTCTAAACATCAGCTGAGGACTGAAATGCTCTTCAACAAGCTGCTCATATGCCTTCTTAAAAAAAAAAAAAATTTTTAAATTGATGCTGCTGTGTTGGTATGGGGTCTAATGTGGCTGACAGCAAGGAAATTCATACTTTGATTCCAGTGCTCTGAGAACTGCTAGCCTTCGAGAGCAATCTCCTTCGTAAGTGCTGTTGTCTTTTTTTTTTTTTTTTAAATATAAACGCAGAATGGATCATCGCTGTACATTTTCTCTCAATTCCCCAGTGTTTGCTGCAAAGCTGATGTTGGTTTAAGGAACCATTTTTCACTCCTGCACAGAGCATAGACGGCTGGCTTCATCACATTTGTCATCTTTGCCTAGCCTAACATACATTACCAAACTGCTCACTCAGTGTACAACTAATGAGGTTAACATTACGTTGCCCTAAAGTGGCATCGGTGTATTTGCACATGAGCAGGTCAGCGCATCTCTAAACATAATGTTCAGCCCTCCTCTCGACCCTCAAAATTTCAGTACAGCCCTGCTTTTATTCAAACAAGTTTAGCCTTGGTTGCATTGTGAACCAGATAAATCCAAGACTATGGCTTATTCACAGTCTACAGTTTCAAGACGTGCAATATAGCAAACCTCCCCTTCATAGAATCTCAGTTTTTTTGATGCACTAAAGCCAGAATGTGGTAGAAACTCATGCATTTCTGCAATTACTATTCCATAATCTGGTAATATTCCAGATATCATGGTGCTGTTACATAACACAGCTCAGTATTGGGTGCCTTCTGTTGTCCCAGAGAGATGATTGACAGGATAGTGCAGAGAGCAGGCCAGTTTTCACACAACACTTCTGGACACAAAAACACCCTATTACAGATGCAAGACTGACAAGGAGCCCTGCAAAGGTCTGTTTTATAATCCTATCAATAGCCCTACTTCTGAAAAACAAAAGGCTATTAAATGCGATACAACCGAATTAAAGTCTGACGCGTGCAAAATGTTTTGGCAGAGTGCCTGGTGAGACCTGTCACTGCTCGCGTACTGACCCACGGACCAGCCAGGTCATTAGCTGACTACAACTGACACGAGAGCGCAGAAGTCAAGAGACTCTTCAGAGGAGAGTGATTTCTCTGGGCCATTATTAACCCATTAGATAATTAGCTTGCTCCAGCAGACATGACTCAGCTGACAGCTCAGTCCTGTAAACATGACAACAACATCACGGGGACGACCTATGGGAGAAATCTCCAGGTCACACAGCAACAATAAGTTATCAAAATTGAAGCTGCTTGTTTGTCCAGAACACACATGCCCCGATTATCCTTGTTAGGTTAGTATCTTCTCAGGCTGAACCACCACATGTTGAAGCACTCTCACTCTCGTTTGTGTGAGAGCTTAACACATGCAATTTTCACCCGCATGAGCATACTCACATACCTATTACACTTCTGCTTTAAACATGAATTGCCCCGAGCCTTTAATAATCAAATTGTTGGTGCAGCAGATTCACAGAGTCCTGCTTTGACAACTTAAAGGGGACACCGATACAGAACACATGCATTTAGTTGGAGGGGGAGGTCAGATGTGTTTGAATTGCACGGTACTAAAGACTGCTCTGTGCAGGTGCAGGTGCTCGTGCCTCTCCTCTGCGTTGCGTTATTTGCCGGCAAGCGAGAACCAAAGTGAGGTCAGTTTCCATTATGCACAGTGGCATAATCCCCACTTGTGTAATTCCCTTTTAAAAAGCCTCCTTCTGGTGTTTCCCAGGAGTTGACGAACCAGCAATCCAACATGGACGGGCCTTTACTCACTGGCAGCTTCACCCATCATGCTCCCGCCAAATTTCCTGCCTCTAAATTGTTGTGCCAGCAGGAGAACTCAGATTCTTCTCACTAGCAAACATTTACACAAAAAGGGAAGGCTGCAGCTTTTACACGGTGACGCTGCTACTTCTTAGCAATATAGATTCAGTCACAGCTCCCCCTCACCAACCCCTGCTTTTCATCCCTAGCGTGAAACATGTGCGGCCAGTGTCCGTGAGCAGATTAGTACCATATCTAAAATAACTATAATCCAACCCATTTTGAACCTTTTTCTTTGTTGTTCACTTCCACTTTTGTGCTGCCATCTGCTTCAACCAGGACAATCACGCCACTCAAGAGGGAGTTCTCAATAAAGGGCATTAGTAGCATGTTTATTAAAGCCAAATTATTACTCCTAGAGAACATTAGCTATGCTTTTCTGCTCCCTCTCCCATTTTGTGCGCTCTAAAGTTGGCATAAGCACTCGGAAACGGGATACAGATGAGTGTATAACCCAATTCTTTTTCTCCCACCACCAAGTCAACCGTAAGCCATTTTTCAGGCAACGCATTACTGATCACGTTTCTTATAACAGCCTGAAAGAGCTCATAAAAACATTTAAATCCTGAAATAAACCAGTCATTCATTTCTTCATATGTGGGTGAGAAATAGGAGTGCATTTGTTTCATTTGTCATGGGACAGCTACAGGAAATACTCAAGATCTGCATGTGATAGCTGGAAGATTATTCACATGTTTCAGAAACTGAGTCATTTGGTTCTTTGTGGCTTGGAAGGATGCTTTCTAATCAAGAATGGACCCAGAAAGCAGTTTGGACAGCACCTTGTATTTGCCTGGAGTTATTACTGAACGCCTAATAAAACAAGCACTTGTGCTGCCTTAGCAGCACTTGGGACAATCAAAAACAGCATTAGCACCCTGTGAAGCACAGTGATCACAGAATTAATGAGGAAAAGGCAAAGACCAAAAATGGCAGACAGAGAGAGTAATCCAAGCAGCCCACCAACAGACATTTAAGTGAACAGAGTATCATCTGTTCCACAATATCAGCATAAAGCAGAAGCCTCTAGAAATAATAATAAAAGTACCAGTCCTGGCTCCAGTACAAGCACTGGTCCACTGCTGGAGGAGCAGCCCTGGAAAACACATCTGCGAGGAATAGGCAGAAATGCAAAGATCTGACACAAACACATGCTTCCCTTATTGGGAGACTGGTATAAGGCTATTATTTAAGAGAGATTCCTCACTAAGAAGGCACTATGGAAACTCAACCTGACAAGTGCAACAAAACAAAAGGAAAGGGTTATTCAATTTTAGTCAAATTACAAAATAGAACTTTTTTTCCCCCCCCCAGCATTCGTTATTTGAAGAGGCCATTTTAAATTCCATTATCAAGCCATTTTTAAAGGTACATACCTGTCGAAACCACAATTTTAATGGTAGGGGATTTATATTTGCTTTAGCCTTTAACATGAAAAAGGCACCCTGAATGGTTGCACAGATTTTAAAGCTTGGATATGGAGGGGGGGAAAGAATTGCAGTATGAGATGTTACAATGTTTGTGTTTAATTAAATTAACATTACTGACCTGAAATTTTGCACAAATCCTATTAAGGCGTTAAAAACCTGAGATTGTCAGGTAAGACGCATGTGATGGAGTAATGTGGACTGATCCAAGTTAATTGTTGTCAATCCTCCCCCAAAAAAAAAAAATTTAAAAAAAAATTTAAAAACTACCACATACGCAGTCATTTGCTTGTATTTCTCCATTTTTTAGCCATGTTTGTACTGAATGTATATTATATAGTATATATAGCATGCATAGTGAAAAGTGGGTGACCCTTTTAGAATCATCTATACGAGCGCAGGTTTCTCTTAAAGTTTGAGAGTTCATGTCAACATTAAATAATTATCACACTAGTTACAGTGAAAATTGGATAATGAATGTGAAACTCAACAAAACCTAATTGGAGTCATAAGGGAGGAAACCTGGACTGTAATCAGTGAGACAAGACTTCAAGTGTGGGTTAGAGCTACACTACAGACATTTGAGCTTGCTTACAAAAAGCTTATGTTCTGATCAAGACAAATTATATGCATCAAGCTGGAATGAGCTAAAGGAATCCCAAGAGTCTTGATACTCATCAGGACACGAAACACTGTCTATAAATGGAGAGTTTAGTAGGAAGAAATTAATGGAGTTTGTCACCACCTCCGAGCTTGCAGTCATCCATACAAATGTCATAGTGCAAGGTTGCATGGGCACCACAGAGCATCTTGATTCATGTGGAACAGGGTTGAACTGCTCGGGATGAGCTTGCAGCCTAAGAACCTTCTGAAATTTGATGCCAGAGTGCACCAAATGCTCAGCTTTGTGTAAAGTCTGTCCGTGCTACAGTTAGGACCACACTGCCCACAACATTGGAGCAACCTGTCAGCCAGGGTGGTCTGAAGTTTAGCAGCTTTGACAGGATTATTCATGAGACAAAGACTCAAGAACAAAGAGTCATATGATCAGCTTACTCTAACAAGGCAGAACACTGGTGGGAAAATAGGGAGGACTCCAGCCGATGAGAAATGTGTGGAATGTCAAATCCAGTCAGGTGCCTCCAGTGTGGAAGTCATTGGAAAAACAAAAAGGCAAAAGAAAGGCTTCCAACATTATTTAGCACTTTTAACCACAGCGAACTGTCTGGTATTGTGACTGGTGCAAAAACGTTTGTTTACATCTAAAAATTGCAGGTTGCAACACTAATGATTTGGATAATCTCTGAGGGATTCTGCCTGCTGTGACCGGTAATGAAGTAATAGCCTGTTAGCTCTGACTGGATCACTTGTGATGCAGTAGAGTAAAGAGCATACATCACACTTGAAATTACTTCCAAATTGTCTATGCCCTAGTGTCACAACTTCTGTGCAACAAATACACAAAACAAAGACAAAAGCCAGTATGTAGCAAAACAATTACTTTTAAGGCTTTAAAATCCAAACACAACCACTGCATTTCCAGACATTTGAGAGTTTAGTAACGGAAAGCACAGCTAGTCCCCAAATCCTGCCTAGCCAGTTAATCACAGCTCCGTAAGTGTATATATGCAACAAATGGCCAAAATGGACCAAACCTGTGCAACCCTGGCAGTCTTTGATGGCTCCCCTCTTCCCACTGACTCATTCAGAATCACAGAGCGCTCATGTGAGTCAGTGTTTGGGAAGAGCAAACTAGTCAGGACTGAGGCAATTCAAATGACATGGAAATAAATAAACAAATGCACCATTTCGTGACATTGCCATCACTGTTTATGTACCGTTTAAAAATCAATAACTTTGTGGTAAAAAACAGTAAATCTCTTTTTGCAGCACAATGCAGATCTCAGCAGAGAGTCAGCATATACTCCAGTGTATCTAAAGAGAGTGCTGCTTCCTTTAAGTACACCTAGGATGCTGTAAGCTAATCAATACCCGACGCTGTTAATAGCCCTTTTGTTGCTTATTACTGCGCAAGTGATCTAAACCGCATCCGAATACAAACCCAGCAGAGATGTGAATTAAAAGCAGAAAATCAGCTGAGAAATACCACAACTCCCAGATGTCTTCATGCTAATCTATTGATATATTAGGTGCTGTAAAGCCCATTTACTACATCTTCTGAGCTGCAACAGAACTATCAGCCTCAAGGATGTAAATGTTTAGTTCAATAGAATTAATTTGCAGTTCCACCGTTTGAATAAAGACTCGCTTGTCAAGATCTCACGGTGTTCATAAATGAAGCCAAACAATATAACTGGCAAAAGAAAAAAGTATTATCTTGTTATTAGGTGATAAATTCACTGTTCATAATTGCAACATGAGATCCAACAGTTGGCCATTTACACATCCAGCAGATCTGGCGTAACATTATGATTCAGATGTAGTTGCGTTTATCTCTGAGGAAACTATAAGGCTCCTCATCTGCTAAATGTTCATCCATGTCATCAAGTAGTTTAGTTAGCATTTGTGCCAGAGAAGCAAAATCTTCCAGGACATTCTGTTCTCAAAGAATATCCTGCTTTGACTGAGGATCATGAAAACATTGCTGTCAATATATTAAAAGGAAAAAAATTACAATGAATTGTTAAGGAGAAACATTGATTCCAAGATTGTGTACCTGGCGCTGAACAGTTCTTCTCCTCAGTTTCATTTTCTGGTACTGAAGCCATTAGCCGTCTCCCCCAGATTTCATGGTCGGGATGTCCCTCCACAATCATCCCATGGCCTGAAACAGTATTGAAACAGCTTTGATTATCACATATTAACATAATACTAATAATAAATACTAATAACTTTTTATTTAAATCCTCTTTTGATCAAGACCTTAAAAGTCCATTATATATATACACATATATATACACACACATACATACACACACACACACACACACACACACACACTTCAAAAATGCAACAAAACCCAACATGGCTGCTGTTACACAAAGTATGAGCAATGACCAAAAATACCCATGTTCTGAATTATGTGCAATTTCCCGAAAGAAGGTTGCTTTTCTTTAATCCCTTAAAAGTTTTTATTCATGTATAAATGACATGTTTATCCAGCAGCAACCGCCGCAGGAGGAATAACGCATCAAAATGTAGCTGTGTCATTATATTTTGGAGGGGGGGAAGAGTGTAATTTTTCATTAAACTGCTCTTAAGCCTCTAATGAGAACAGGAGGGGGAAGAAAGAAAGAAAAAAAATAGCAGTCACAAATCTATTATGTAAAAATCATAACAACAAGCTTAGCAGTGCTTTAAAATTGCAGCTTGCATAAAATGGTGAAGTGAGAAAGTGGTAACTGACGACATAATGATTTAGTAGTTCTACTGTTACACGATTATGAGCAGATTACTAAAAATACCACAAGGAGTAATGTCTACATTCATTCATACTGGTCGTTTGTCAACAGACCTACTCTTTTAGAGTAATAGATCACACAATGACTGGGACAGGGTCTGTACAGCAGCAGATTCACATGATCTCCATGACCAAAGTCTAATTACTGATCTTTATGACACTGAGCAAGTAATGTTTAAGATAAAGGAGAGAACATAGTGCTTTAAGCTTTAAACAAACTGCATGTGTACTAAGCCCCCCTAACTCTTTTAACCAGAAGTCCACAAAGTGCTAAAAATAACACCGATTAACAGATTTACACAGCTGCAGATAATTACTCCATTTGCCTTTTTATTAGATTAAAACAAATTAGACTACACAGTGCACTACTCAGATCTGATTATCAAACCTATTCATCCACCGGTCCATTTTCTTATCCAACGTTAGGTGGTTCTCAAACATCTTAACTGCACAAGGTGACCGGTGGGTCTACCACATGGTTTAAAGAGTCAACCAGTCACACTCCTACTGGAAATTTGGAATCACAAATTAACCTTATATACATGTCTCAAATTTCTGGGAGGAAACCCATGCAAGCACTGGGAGAACCATGCAAGAGGCAGAAAAGCCCCTGGAGACTGAAATCCAAGATGGTCTTACTGTGTGGTGACAATGCTAACCACTAGCAGCTAATCATTTCAGCTAGTTATTAGCCGCTAGTGCGGAATGTTCATAATAGCAACCCACACTTTAAGGAAGAAGTCAAGTATTAAACTGTTAGAAATTTTAACATGAGGTGGCATATATTAATGTAAACCAAGTAAATGTTAGCCAACTGTTACCTGACAGCCATATTAGCAGTCTGTTATCATTAGCATGGCAGCTAATGGCTTATAACAGTATGGGAGAATAGTGGTTTTCCCCCATGGTGTTGAAATGGTATAAAGTATTTTTCCTGTGTTTCAGTATCGAGTTTGAAATTCTAGTATTATAACTAGTTTGCACCATCCATTTAGCCTAAATTTTAAAGCTAAAGGACACTGAAGTACTGCTGAGCCAAGAACAACTGCATCAGCAGTTAGTTTCAACCCAAGTGCAGGTTAGCTTTTCACATTTTCCTACCACAACCCTCTTCCAATTGCCATTGTAAAACAGTTCTACCTGGCTGGATTGTATTTCCAATGTAGTGATACAGAATTATTTGCCACTTTCAATCCAGTAGAGTTAGACAGCCTGAAGATCAGCAGGCACTTGACAAACAGACTGTACACAAAGCAACTGCAGCTGCTTCCTACAGTTCTCCAATCCAAAAGACCAAAACCCTCCAGTCACTGCTCCAACCTGTTCCGTCTCACTAACCAGCATGGTTACACTCCCCTTCTGCCTCTCCCCTTATTGCTTGATTTCTTTTCAAGCAATGCTCGCATTAAAATAAACATGGTTTAATTTGATATCAGGGTAGAACATGAAGAGCCTGAAGTTTGCAGACACTAAACATGTGGACATTTCATGCCAAGAACTGCTTTTTAATGTTGTATTAATGAATAGGCTGAACTTTCAGATTTACACAAACTCCAGTAGACCTGGAGAATTTTACCCTTTAGAAATTTATGCATAAGATTTAAATACAATTTGCAGTTTCAGTTGTGTGGAATCACTTAACCACAACTATTAAGTCTTATGACCAATGATTCTTGGAAGCCTAAACAAGATAACTGCATGTATGTGCATATGCACAAGCAGTTCAACATGCTTTCTCAGTGCCAAGCATCTGAAAAGAAAACAGTGAAGACATGATTATATCAGTACATCGAGGCAGGCTGGGGATAAACTAAGGATACAAGCTTTTGTTTTGCACAACATTGCTGGCTTATTCTACATCGCCTTCTCCCAGTTGACCTGTTTTGATTAATTGTCTTATTCTCTGTGTTTAAATCTTCATGTTCTGACATTCTGAAGCTCTTTAAGGTTGGCAGTACCCCCCGATTAATCCTTGTTAGTTTGTTAGGAGGAAATGTCATGAATTTAAGAGGCTGATTAGAAATTGGTTGAAAGGGAAATGAGCCAGTAATCACTTCATTTGTCTTTGTAGGTCTGAGATCAATAAGGAAGCATTTTTTACTTATTTAAACAGCTCAAACTGCTAAAAAATTAGATTTTTACATTTTAAATACAATTCCACCTGTTCCTTCTCAAAATTTTAAAGTTGATCACTTTGATGGTAACATGCAGGTCAAGAAATACATTTGCAGTTCAGTATAAAAGTTTGTCACATTATTCAGGCACTACACCAAACTAATGTTTGATGCCAGTTTATTTTTACATTTACAGGGTCAAGAGGTCAACGAATCTTGAGTGGCTAAAAGAGGATTTTACATTAGAGCTGCTAGAAATCAATTAGTTAGCCATTACCCAGAAAGCATTCCAGCCTTGAGCGATTCTTATTTAGGAATCCAGTCAAGTTGTGATATGATATAAAATTTTTATCAGTTATCAGTAGTGGCCTTGGACGCTGTACACTAGGTTTGTAGAGTTTGACTAAATGAGTAGTGGGTGTAGAGAAAAAAAAAAAAAAAACAACATGCCGCTACTGATAAAGTGTCAAATGAACCAAAGACAACATTTAAGTAAGAAAACCCATCCCTGGCTGCAGCAGTAAATGAGAGGAGCAAAGGAGGAAGTTAGGGGATATAAAAACCAGTTGATACAAAATGACTG